ACATTGGCACAATGTACCAGCCGTGGCGGTTTTCGGGTTGGATGGGAACACTTACAGCTCTCTTCTAAGGGAGATGGTATCTAGACGTGGTGTGGGTTGTACTGCCATAATTTACTGATCCAGTAAGTGACTGATTTGGTGTCCTTACTTGTAAGACAAACTCAGGTCCGAGTTCGTTTTCCATGACGGAGCCCTTCCTACTCGATAAGGAATCGAAATTGTGATAGGACAGACTTCCATTCACTCCTACTTAAACTGGGGATACAAACCACGAATTCGTATGAGTAGTCTCTCAAAACTGGCGATTTAGGGAAAAACTTTGACCTGCAACGAGGCTCGAAACCGTACTTATGCTTTCTGGGTACCGCCTCTTACCCCTTATACTATCAAGGCTCCGCTTTCCCTCGGCTTCCTAATGACTTATATGCCATAACTTGTATCGGATGAGTAGCCTTCTGTCCGATGTAATAAGGTGATTGGTTTTCAACGAACCTCATCTGACTTCTCCATACGGTCATTCTGACTCCCTGGTCACTAAAAGACTCTGAAAAGGGTGGTCATTTATAGAAATATCCTCTGCCTTTCACCAAAAGCATTCTATGCATCATTATGCTTTTCAGAAGAGCATCCTTCATTAGGAAGTAGCCATTGACCATTAGAGAGTTTTTTACGTACCCTATTTCTGCCCCACGGGTCAGTCAATTAGTTCCTGACCATTCCTCGGTTTTTCTTTCGAATTCATTTTTGACAAAACGACTTTCAGCTTGGTTGCCTGCGTGTTCTCGTGGTATGAGTTTGAGAAATATGCAAAAGTTTGCAAGAATTCCCTTAAAAAGTTGGGCGATCCCAGTTGAAGTGGGAGGTATCACCCTGTTACCCCTATGTGGTGAAGGATTCCTAGCCGCTTTGATCGTCAAATCGATGTTCACCCTATATCAGTACCTCTCTACAACGCTTGGTGGTATATGGAACAGCCTTCCTACCCCATCTCCTCTTTCCAGTGGGTGGAAAAGTAGGCAGCAGTACTACCTATACGGCTAGTACGGCGGGCAGTCGAGTGGGCTACTAGCCATTACTCTCAAACTCCCAAAAAGAAAAGTGTACTCCAGTGAGGGCAGTCCTGATTAGTGCATTGGTCCCCGTGATAGGCTAAAAGGAAGCTCGTGGACTGATGGAGGGATAAAAACAGAAGGTACTTGTGTACTTCCAATCATTCTAAGAAATCGGAGGATGTAAAAGTTGGGAATGACGTTGACGAACTCCCAATGGAATGACGAGCTGGAAATCCTCGTCTGGCACTTTACAGAACCACTCAGCCCTTCAGGTGTTGGTGAACGTGAAAATGAAGATCTCAGATTCCTGTAGGCAGGCTATCTGTCAGGTGTTTTTTCTTCCTTAATTGCTTGTCTTCGTCCTTATCAATTTATCATTTGCAAGGTTACAATATAATCGTTTCTTTTACACTTCCTTACACTACAAATGTGTAGGTGTGAAAAACAAGCAGAAGTGATCAGCACTGTGCACTTTCATTGTTCAGCAGTTAGCCAATCGGTGGCCGTTTTTCAGATTTCTTCGTGTTTTCAAGCTGATTCTTCTTCAGAACAATGCCTTCCTTCCTCCTTTGTTTCAATCTTTCCCAAATGCATGACTGATTGAATCGATGAATCAATTGGTTCTTGTCGGAATGAATTCACCTTTTATACGATGGTACCGCCTTCCGAACGGTGGTATGGTTGCCTTTTGTCCCCCACCTTGTCGACTCAGCACTTGGCAACGTACTTGATCTTATCGCCGCTCCATACCTTACCAGGTAAGACCTATTTATGACTAGATAAGAACAGAAGATCATAAGACCATTGCCTTACCGCGTTTTTTCGAGAAAGGCTAGTTAGGCAGGGATGGCAAGTTCTGAGCAAAAATTCGGCTATGGATGGGGTTTGATCCCGTGGTCGTGCTCTAAGGGCACCGCGCTCTTTACCCCGTTACTCCTTCGGGGTATCTTTTCTTTCAGTAACGGCCAACATGAAATAAGGATGACCAGGACTCCGTAAACGAATTTCATCCTCAGGATACGCCCTGCACTCGACCTCTCCACCTTACTTGAGAAAATATTCGCATCAAGTCACCAGTGCTGGGACAGGAGAGTACGGAAGAGTATAAGGGTCCCCCTCATCCATGGAAGGGATCGCAGGAGGTTGAGCTCTGATGGAAAACTTTGAATTTTTGAAGGAATTTTCATGGAACAAATATAGAAATTGGATTTTGGCATTTTCTTTCTCCAAACTGCTTGGGAAAGCTACCAAGCCGAACGATTCTCAAGGAATCAAGTTTGCCTTTTATTGCTCCGATGCTGCGGTACATCGGCCAGATCTGCGATTCAAATGTTAACGGTGTTCGCTACCTCTCGAAATTTTGTTTTGGATTTCTTCATCGAAGGCATTGAGCACCTTCACAACTGTCTTGTGGTAAAGTGACCCACCCACCCAACCGGCCACAGGTTGCAGCTCAAAGCGTATCGTCTCGGCTTCCATAAGTCTCTATTTTGAAATGACTATAATTTCGATCTTCTCCTAAGACCTTCGGAGAGCATTGAGAGCATTTGAACCTTTTCCTTTCTGCTACCTATATATGAAGACCTTGAATAGACAAATCGGTGACACCACTCTGCAGACGAATCTGGTGGGGCAAGTTCTTTCCTCCATTAGGTTTGATAAACTCTCAACGGTTTTGATGACTAGAGAAAAACGAAGCACCTTACTACTCCAAGGACCTTCTTTTTCGTTTAAATTAAGGCTTATTCATCCTTCTGACTGGTACTCCTGTAGGGAAAGACGAGCTACAGTCTAGGGGCCGACCTAGTGTATGCTGATCGTCTATTCTATCCCTTGAACCCCCTGAACTTGAACTCCTTCCAAAGTCGGTTCTTCAAGGAAGAAGCATCGTCGGGCAGAAGTTCGTTGTGCCGTCTCTACATCGTTCCAGCGGAACTACCGTAATACTGCATAATTTTGTTTAATGTGCGCATTCAACGGAATGATTCGATCGCTTCCTTTTCCATGGTTGTCTAATTAGTTGTACTCCATAGTATAGCACTGGAAGAGCCATTATTTCCGATACTTACCTCTTTAGGCTACGAAGAGTCTTCTAAGGCGTCCTTGGCATACCCTCGGTATGAAACTAAGAGGGCATTCATTTTTCTCAGTTCTTTCCTTCTCAGGCTCAGAAGAGTTCTTGGATGTATTCTTAGCCAGCTGATACTCGTGAGTAATACCGTATACTTTGATCCCCAAATTACGTTGAAATGATTAGTAGTTTTGTTATGCAGTAACTATAAATAATTTGTTGATTTCAGTTCTATTTGTGTCTGATACTCGCTGATTTTCAAAAGGTTTTGCCCTCTTGTTGATTTTTCATCATCAATGTCTCGTGATTTCACCAACTGTTCAGAAATTCTATCTCACCTGCAATCCACCCTGAAAAACTAGCTAATTCCGCCTGTTTTTCGAAATTCTGATTCCAGCCAGCAACTCCGAGTCATAATTGAAATGTCGCTCATTTCAATTACTTTCTAAGACTCAAACCAAATTTTGTTTTAGAAATTAAAAAAAAATCTTTTCGGATTAACAGGCTGATTTTCTGTCTATATGTCTTGCCAGCAGCATTGATGTAGTTTTTCATTTCTGAACTCTTAAACCTCTTAAACGAAGTTGGTTGACTAGTCGTGAATCGGTTTATCTCATTTCCGAAATAGGCGACTCGGCCGTAATGAAAGTCAATAAATGTTGGTCCTCAGTCTCTGGAAAAACTCAATTAGGGTGAGACTGCTGTGCTGAATATTCTCATCAAAATTCTGAAAGCACCAGAACTATTCTTAAATACTTCGAAACTTCCTCTAACAACAAAAAAGGTTGTTTATCACTATGTACCCTAATGGGCGATTCTCTTGAACAATCCTCATTGGGTAAAATAGGTTTCGGACGAGTTTCCGCAAGCAAAAATGATCCTTGGACGAGTTCTGGGCAGGGCGAAATAGTGTTTGAGCGAGATTTCTACAGGTCAAAAAAAAGCATTCGGAGCATAACATATGTGTAAATAAAGAATGATATAGGATATTTACGAGATTTTTTCTATCGCTTGGAATAAGTTTTGGACGATTATTTTCAGGAAAGCGAACTACTTTTCAGGCTTTGAAAAGGCATTTGTCATTTTGCAACTGAACAGTTTCTCCTAACTTTTTTGTAATCGCAGTGTTCTCTCTGTTCTGAGTACATCCTGACTGATATGTTCTGCACTTAATTGTCTTTACGGCATGAACCCTTCTCAATACTGACACAAATAAGGTTTCTAATGACTATGTTTTTGATCTTTATTGATTATCTTAATTAAGTAAGCAATCAAGGAGGCATTAAAACTGACCGGCCAGGCTTATTGTGGTCTCCTCCTGGTCAATCTATACACCATGGGTCTCTCAGAATCCGAATGGAAGACGATGAAGTGACTTCACTTTACAGCTTGCTGCCTTAACTTTCAACACCACCTTACATATGACTAAACGCTATCAGAAGACCGAATCTACTAGATCATGTCGTTGTTTCGGTGAAGAAGTGCTTTCGCTAGTCACGATGATGTTTCCCGTAGTTGGTTATCGCTAAGACACATCATCAACATCACGTAAAGAACCGGTCGGTTGCAGTGGAAACCTTCACCGTAATACACTATCGATTTCAGTCATTACTCTTCTGTATTACTTGGCAGTAATCAGTTAGGCACTCAGCTGACCGCACGCACTACCCTCCCTCGCCCTTCGTCCTCTTTCAAACCTTTTCGCCGTCTCTTCCTCCCCACCTCCCCAGTGTGATTCATTCGGCGACGTCTGCCATTTGAATTTTTACAGTTGCCGCCGTTTAGGCGTCGTATCCGTTCGTTTTCCTTGGAAGGTCATTACCAGTTCTCATTACAGTTCATGCAGCGTTACTCTTCCAAAGTTTTTGGTAACAAAACTAATCTGGTCGTCGAGCAGAATGTTGGTAGGTCTCTTTAGCGACTTGAAAGACTTTAACTGACGTCCTGGATGTTTCAGAGCAAGACAGTGGCTTTTCCGCAGCCAGTTTATCGATGAGAGCTCAAAAGAAAATCGCCAGTAAACTAAGTACAAGGTACAGTTTTCCATAATTTCTTTAACTGGAGTTTTCCAAAGTTTTTAAAAAGTAGTCCTGATAGAGATCTGGGAATTATTCATACGTTACAGCCCACTTATCGAAACTGGGGTCACGTTTTTTCTTGAATTCTGTCCTTCGGCTTGAACAGGAGGCGGGACCAATTTTTTTCCAGTAAAGATTTTCCAGTGTGATAAGGGACGGGAAGGCTAAGGCAAATCTATTCAATTTCCAATGTCTGAGTATTTGTGTTGGAGATGAAATGGCTTTCAGAAAAGTCACCAAATTGTTTATCAGTCAATCGGTTGATCGAGTATTTGACAATCTCTACAATGCTTTACGGACCTACTACACGAAAAAGGACTCAGAAAAGGTATCTGTTCATTAGTATTTTCACTTACCGTAGGTTTTGCTTTCCTTTTATGGGCCTTCAAAATTGTACAAAAAAGTAAAAAGTATGATAATTATAGTTGTAAACTAAAAAAATCAAAATCATCAAGTTGCAAACTATCTCAAAATGAATCAAAAAGAATATTTTGTCCTCATGCTCATGAAAAATTGCTTCCCTCATGATTGTGATTTAATTTTTCGCCAAGATCAGGAGGGACCGTCTCCCTTTCACTTGATTTCTCCAACTGTGTAGTCGTTTGCAACTGTTACCGTAACCAGTTGTGCAAATTCGGTGCAAGAACAGCGGAAATGGAATCAAATTTAGCGAATTCTTTTCATCCCTTTGCATTTCTGATTGGAAACTGCTTCAAGAAACTACTTGGAATTCTCAGTCACATTAAAATAGAAAACTCCGACAAATCATATGAACCAAAGCTCAAAAGACAACGTTCTTCGGTGTCGGTCAGCTTCGCAAAGGAGTCCATCCGCAAAGGAGACTCTAGGCTTCCACTAAGATTCGCAAGGGTGATTGCGTAATTGATCCATGAAATCAATTCAAGGGGTCACCCATTGAAGAGTCAGTAGTTTTACCCTCTCAGACAAGCTAAGGAATTTACGTACCGGTATGAAGGTGTGGTAGAGCCTCAGCCAAGATGGTACAGCTCTTTATTCGGTCAACGTTTCGGCGTTATCGCCTTCGTCAGGACCTGGAAGCCAAAAAGTATTTGAGCTTCATCCTATTTACGATTTACGTACCAATTCACGTATCGCGGAGGAACGAAAGTTCCAATTGACTTAGGCGGGTCTCGATCCAAGGTATAATCCCGTGACTATGCCTATGCTGGTGCATAACTTTCCTCTACTCCACCTACAGTACATAAGCGCGAATGTATCCATGCTTGGGTTGATGTGTCCGTCTTGTCGTCATTTAACTGAAGCTTCATGTGAGGTTTTATAAATTTTCTTGGTTTATTATTTGAACTTTGGTATATAATTGTATTTTTTTGTTTTTTTTTTATTAATCTATAAGCATCATGGATAGGTTTCATTATATTCTTCCGTGTTCATAGTGAAGTTGATTTCACTCTCGTAGCGATTACTAATTAATTGAAAAATCATATGCGGGGATCAATTTTTAAGTAAAATCTGTTACTGTTTATTCAAACATGGTTAAATGTAATAGTTATTTCGAAGACCTTCCAGAAAATCCAAGCTCTATAACAATCAGCTCATCGCAGAGCCTAGCGTGATAATCAGTAAAAAAAAGTTCAATACCTATAGTTTCCTGAATGCCTACACTTTCTTTTCGTTTATTTGTTTTTTTATTATTTATTTCAAATTTTTCTGATGTTGATAGACATTTTTGTGCGAAAAACTGAGGAACACCACCTGTTAATGCCCATAAGATGGAAGGCCATGTCAACAATGTCTTTAATTTACATTAATTAATCATTATTATTCCTAATTTACATGTAAAGGTTCACTACAATTACGTTCTACTTCAATTGTCTCTCGACTGTAATGCTACGTACGGCGTGGTTTGAAACTTTCCTTCATTCCAGTTTTGGAGGACGTTTCAAGGATATTTTTTTCTACTATGAGGGAACATAGGGATATGTACAATGAGATTCCGCGGGAAGATAGGATATTAGCACTTTTACTTATCGTTTCTCGAAATTCCTAGAGATCCAGAGCAGTCCAGTTCCCAATGAAATACAAGCTATCGAAGGCCTAGAGGGCAAATGTAACCCGACACCCTATCTTTACACTTATACTTACTTTTACCTCCTACAGAGATAAAACAATGAGCGGAACTCTTTACCCAGGTTGAGGTTTCCATAGTGACTTTTGTACCACGATAGAATCCATAATTTTAAACTTATTATTAGCATATTGATCTGAGGCGGAGGTGGTGTAGTGGCAAGTGGCGCACTATATCACGCGCATGGTCAGAGGTTCGAATCCCGGAATGATGCCGCCTAGCCCGTCTAGGCCTTCCATTCTCAGGGGTCGCTTAATTGGTACGGGACTCGTTTGGGAGGATAAGAGACTGACTTGGACATCGTGGCCACTGCAATTCATTTAATGGCCGCATACGCATTCAATACACCACTATGTTTCTGAACGAAAGTCGAGTGCATGGGCGCATACCTCACATAAGACTGATTAACACCCAAAACTTAGCCCTTAACCTTTGGATTGGTCTGACATCGATTGAATCCCATTGATAATTGCTTGGGTGATTGGATGATAATGAAGAGTAAATGAAGCTAACTGCAAGCCGCGTCGGAGGCAGTTTCCATTTAGTAGCAAAAGGGTTGGAAACATTTCTGCGACAGTTTTTGCTGTTCATAATTGCCAATTACCTAGCTGTTAGTCTTTTGTGAACAAAAAAAGTTAAATCAGAAAAAGTAATTTCTATAATTGGTCTGAATGAAGCAGAGTTGGGTTTGCTAATGGCATTTGAAAAAGTTGCAGAGCTTGCATGAAGGAGGTCAAACACCATATGAAATGGGGCAAACATATGTATTCCGATTTCCGATTTTTGTCGGGCCATTCTGCCCTGCTTTTCTATGTCAACCGGTGTTTCTAAGACTTCCGAATTTTCTTTTTTCTGCCCTTTGATGCCATAGAAAACCCAAAATGTCTTTAGCATCGCTCATTTTCGTAATTAAACATTTTTCCTTTGTCTGGTGGCAATGATCGAGTCATTTTGGACGTCTAATCACGCTTTTACGGCGATTCTGTGAAATTTTAGCGTGAAGTGGGAGCTATGACCTTGATAGTAGTAAGGAGAAAGTAAAGAATTTGCCATTTCTAGCAGTACCGTTTTATCAGTGTGTAAAGAAGAACACAAAGCATTTTTTTTATTTTAGGTCTTGAAGAACATCATAAAATTGGTAGTGAAGATAGGCTTACTCGCCAGAAACGATATGCTAAGCGAGACGGATATTAAACAACTGGAAAATGTCCAAAAACAACTTCACTCTTTAGCTCTAACCATCATCTCATTCGTACAGGTACGGTATCCATCGACTTCCATATCGATCAAATTCAGGAAAAGTAAACAGTAAATAAACCAGAAAAGCCAAGGTACTTCTGAAGCAGTTCCTACTGACAATTGCCTCTCCAAAAACATTGGGGGGGGGGCTTTTACTTTTTTATTATCAGTCGTATTTAATCAGAGTTTCCGCTAGCGATGTCGTCCTCGGCCTATACAAGCCACAATTTTCTTTTACTCGAATGTTACCTGGTTTTAAGCTAACAATAAATCATCTAATGAAGGTAACATTGTAGTTGGTACAGTTTAGGAGCAGCAGAGCAGCACCCGCTGTCAGGGAGATGGAGTTGTACTGGGCAAGGGACGTGCTGTACTTATTTTTAGTGTTCAGGCGCTTCACGCCCGAATTTACGATCTCTGATCAAACATTGCGACTTCCCTCTCTGTACTGCTTCTGCCTATCTTTATCTTTGTGCCATTTTTACGATTTTACGTTTTACGGCTTGTTTTACGTATGAATCATTTGCGGGAAAGATTGGGGCCAGTGGAAAGGAGAAGATGGGAAAAAGACGTGAGGTGATCGTGTTTTACCCCGATACATCACTTCATGTCCTTGCTTCATGTCCCATAGTGTTTTTGGATGTTTTTGGATGTCACAAGGGGGGGGGGGACCACTTTTCCTGGTGGGGAACGATTCGCCCAAGGAACTCTAATTGTATTCACTGTCCACCCGAGAAGGAGGGTATCGCATGAAAGGAAGGGAGGTCACACAAAGTAGCCGAAAAGTTTAGACATTTTGCATTTTTGGCACAGGAAAGTATTTGGCACTTTTAAGAGTACTTTGGACGTACAAAAAAAAGAAAAAGAAAGGCAGGGCACAAATAATTGGTTTTCCCTTACCTTTACTGGATTCTTGTAGGTAAAATACTCCTTCGAAAGGACACATCTAATCGAATTACTGAAGAGTATGCAACAATCATTAACGCCATTGGTAAGTCTTTTTCTCTTTTTACAAGTAGAAAGAATTGTTTTTCATTCAACAAATTGAGCAATGACTACTTTGTTGAACGCCGATGAGAAGAAGTAACGAGGGAATGTTAAGGTCACCTTGAGGCTCTCCGATAAATCTACCCGTCGATTGGAGCACGTCATCACGCACTTGACAAACATCCATTTTCTAGACACCCTTTTCAAGGTGAGCCATTTCTCCTACGGGATGACGATGGAGTGGGCAGAGCGCTTAGTCTCAAACTGGACTCGAACCCGTATTTGTGCCCAGAAAGCACAGGTACGGGTTCGAACTTGGTCCGGAGCTTTTTGACAAGAACTCGCCATCTTTGCTAGGCTTTCACACCGCGGAAAAGAGCATTTAGCTTCAAAAAAAACATCAAAAACATTAAGTACGGAGATTCATTCCTATGGATGCCAGGCCTTTATGGCAGCTGAGAACTACGATGACAGATAGATAGTCTTTCTAGATACATGGCTCAGAAATAAGCTAAATTCACTTCGACGCTTCTGGTTTACTCAAAAAAAAAATGATCGGATTGATCGCATAGTGATGGCACTCGATTGCTTTACTTTGCTCTTTCTTCGAAAATACCGTTATTGGATGGGGAAGGGCCAATCAGTGGGAAAGCTCAGGCCCCCCCCCCCTCCCTCCCCCCTCCGCGTCTAGTGAATACCGCCTCCATATGTCTGGGCTGCCCCACTCAGAGTCGTCGTGAGGGGATGGGCACTGTTTGAGCGATTCTGAAGTCATGTGGGGCGCGTGGCGTATCCTGAACTGATTCAAAGATCTTTCCTAATAATTGTGGTCTTAGTACCATTCAGTATGAGTACTAGAGTACTAACGGTGTGGGAAAACTGAACTTTTTTTGAATTTTTGAATATGCAGAAATATTTTCGGATGTGTATTTCTGAAGTACTTTTAGGTGGACGGCCCTCATCAAGAGGTGTTGACAGAATTTGTCTCTTCTATGGAGGATCTTCTGGAATCAGAAGACTTGTAAACAGTTATATCAAATGTTTGCATTGTACATTATTTCCCTCGCTTACAAGGAGCCCAGTGACTGGTCATTTCTTGCTTTCACCCTTCGTCACAGTTGTCCGGTCCGGTCCGTTCCGCCATTTGCGATGTCATCACACTTGCATTTCAAGAGAAGTTGATCTTGTATATGTGATATATATGTTAACTTGCCATGACTGTCATGCTCAGGATACTGTAAATTGAACTTTACCACAAATAAAGCATGTCACTTTATTTTCATCTTTAAACTATTATGCGACTAATGTGAAATAACTCTGATATATAGAAGATTTCCTTAGTATTCTCTGATGACAGGTATATGACTTCGATCACGAGAAGCGAGAAAAGCGCTGATTCCATAGAGGCAGGCAAGTACGAACGCCAGGAACTGAAATGAGCAAGATATGAGGAGGATAAGTAGCTAGCGAATGCGTATGCATGGCTCATACTCATCAGTGTCCCACTTCCTCATGCCCCTTCTGCCTTACCAAACAGACAAAAAAACGTAGTATGAGTAGATTCCATGTTTAGAGGGTTGTGTACGAATTTTCTGAGGGCTATAACTGACCTCATATCAATTTCTTACATTCGGTAGTAGACATGACACTGAACCTAGTTATGTACGATGAGAGGTAGTAGTCCCGCAATGACTCGTGTGGTCCAGGTATCATATCGCGGATTGACCTTCAACCAGTCAATCTGATCATCGGAAGCTCCTAAGCCAGTTTATTGACACCAGATTTATACAGACGCGAAATCTTTAACTCCTGGGCTACCTCTACAAATTACTCGTTGGTTGAATACGCGAGCTCGCCCCCATTACAACCTTGACCAAGACTGGATACCTTGTCTAACAAATGCCACTATCCAGAAGTAAATGAAATGGGAGAAGCGAGAGGGAGGTAGTTCCTGTAGAGTGTGCTGTGCCACACAGATGGTGACTCAGAAGAGCCTAATGTTAGAATTGAACTGTTCAGAGTAGCTGTTGCTTCTGCTATGGCGAGTATCCCTTTTTCTGATGGTAAACTACTAATGCATTGTAATATGTATTAGGTTGATGCGTAATTATTGCGGATTTTCGCTGCTTTTTTTCTCTCGATAGAATTTGAGTGTCGAATTCGTGCTTTCTCTAGAAATGATCTATTTGATTTCCTCTACAAAAGTGTATCTAGAAAACCATCCGCATATTCGCGAAATCAGGCTCTACTACTTCGAGAAAGGTTGGAAGGTAGCAGAGCCATTCCGCGATCTCAGTAACTTTTCGGCGATCGAACAATCAGTCAGAGCCAACCAAGAAATGGGATCTGCCCCTGAATCTGCCATATTCACCAGCAGAAACTTCTATGGATTATCTCGTCAACCGTTCGCTGAAAAATGGCTAGGGAAATGAACTTCCGTCGATTTGGATGGCTTGATGGCCGATGTCAAGGCGTGGATCGCCCTCAAGGGTCAGAACTTCTTCGCTTTTGGAATCCGACTGTCTAGCCAGTGGGAAGCAGTGCTTGATGTAGATGTGGATGAGTTCCGGAGTAATTATTTGAATATGTCTTTGCTTAGTATTTCTATAATTTCTTTAAGTAAAATTTGCTGGAAAAAATCCGCAATAATTATGCATCAACCTAATATTAGCCACATACCACACAGTAACCGTCTTTCTTTCTTCTTGGCATGACTTGCAGGAAGAGTAAAGCCTACCGATAGGTCTAGTAATCTTGTGTACATGTTGTTGAATACTCTCTTAGAAAAATTGTATACTTAGATTTGTTCTTCCTTCTCCTTCGCCCTTCACTGTTAATGCCATTCCTAAGATGGTCCCAGGTGGTTTCGTGGTAAAATTCGTTAGGTGTGTTGGGGACCCTGTACCGCTGCTACGAAGTCGCAACTTGGTAGAAATGAATGGCATTTCCATTCCAAAAATCAACAAGATTCTTCCACCGCAAACCACTGATTTTATTGCTAAATTCCAGAATCATTCATGTTCTCTGCAGTAGCGATACCAAATTATTGGTAGCACTGGTGTAAACTCCCCGACCATATTGACTAGCAATCCAAACGGAGAAAACCAGATCTACGACTAGGCAAATAAACATTCTACGTGTACCTCTACTATTGACAGTTGTACGCGCAGAAAAAATTTATCCACCCCTAAATTTTCAACAAAATCTACTGCAATTCAGGAAAAAAATGAATGGAAGAATCACAGAAAAACTGAAGGCTGTAAGACATTCGGGAATTTCTGAGATAGAAATATAAGGGATAAAGTTTTGCCGCTAGTCAATCCCGTCTGAGGGCCCCTGCATTGACTTTTATTCAGAATCATAGTAGCGTAATAAGTGCGTGTATGACCTGTGCAATGACTTGTGGGGGCCAGTCCATGTACAAGCCAGTGTTTTTATCTTCAAAGATAAGTCTGGTACCAATTAATCGACTCCGAAGAATTGGAAGGCTTGGTTGGCCTAAGCGGTTGTCGATCCGGGATTCGAACTCGTGTCCGTGCATGCGAGATTGTACTCTACTTGCCACTATACCACCTCCGCCCCTAGCTTTAATACATTTTTGATGATTGCGGATTCGTTCTCGAGCATCCATATTTGGCGTTCAGTATGGGGTGTCGTCTCAACAGAAACACGTTCAAGTAAAAGGTATAAAGTCTAAAGTGATAGAAGCGCCGTAGCTGAGCCACACTTGAACTTTAAGCCGCGTTTAGGTCTACAATGAGACAACCTCATCAAATGATAAGACTACCAATAAAGATTCACGCCTGGCAACCTTTTTTGGTGGCTCATGAAACAAAGTCAAATCAACCAAATCATCACCAATATTGATGTTCGGGGTTGAGAACGAGAGGGAGGAGTTTCTTGAGTAAAAAGATCTGATGAACATTTGCTAGCCATTTGAGGACTTCCAAAAACCTTCAAAGCTTGAACGTTGTGATGGCTTACCTTTTGAAAAGTTTACATGAGTTACTGAAGTCGACTCACCGAGGCGAAAGCCCATTCATAGATGAGTCGGCAGCCATTGTGTATGAAACCATCGGAACCAATGTCATTACAGTTATTTGACCAACTTCCAGTAGAGTAATAGGCTTCGACAATGGCCAAAACGATAAAAGAGAAGCAGCAAGTGGCCGAGAACACCAGGTCCTGAAACGAGCGGCATGTCTGTGGCCAACGAAGGCCGGAATACGGTATTGAACGCATACGGTTGTCCTCCAAGGCCAAAAATCAAGATGAGTCTCGTTCAGTGTAAAGAAATAGACGATCAAGAAGATGAATGTGAAGCACATCGCTACGCCAGCGAAGATCAGAAGCAGCGTCTGGCCAAAGAGTACTCCTGAAATTGGAATTTCGAGGGATATAGAACAGTTAACCTTCTGTCCTGCCATCTACTTACCTTTGAATGGCCCTGGGCCGAAAACGGAGGTGATGAGAGAAATAACAACCAAGCAGAGGAACTGAAATCAGTTATTTCTGAGTATGTAATGAACTACAGTTGCCTCTTAAGCTCACTATTTCAAGTATACGGAGGATTCCATGGGGTCCCAGACAGTAGTACTTGTTCGTTTGGCCTATCCCACATCCGTAGACTTTGTCCTAAGAAATGAATTCCTTACAAAAATCTGGACACCATTGTTTTTGGGATATTTCTTCGGTATTTACTAAAAACCTCATGTAGTTTGGTCTGGGTTCTGGTGGTAGTCGTGACGTATGTGCCATCTGGTTGTTGTGTTGTATAGATCTCTCTCCGTTCCATGACGTTTCGTTCTTAAAGAAACCGTTTCCAGTTCAGCCTGTTGTAATTCAATGAAAAATTTCTTAATTGTCTGTGGAGAGACACAGAACTCAAGAGAAGGCGCCAGTGCAAGTGGGATAGGTGAGATGGAAGGAACTGGTAAGACTCCCAGAGAGAATGGCTGTCTTGCCAACGTAGCTACCTTGGGAAAGATAGCTATGATCGGAAATCATAGGTGTCGAATAGCTCCTTCCCTTGTGGGACAAATATAAGCAAATAAAAATGTCACAAAATGAAACATAGTAGATTTCTTTGACTGCTGATTATAGAAGGGGTTGTGGGCTGAAACCCTCAGGAGAACATGTTTACAACATGGCTCCTGCCCATGTAATTCTAGCTGGTTCAAAATATTATTCCCCCTGCATTGACTATGTTTTTATTCAGGAAGAGGCAAAGGGGCAGAGGCCTCGTTGGCCAAAAAGTAGAACTGTGAGACTTGACTCTGACTCTGGGCTTCAATACTCGTTCTTTTCTAGAAACGCTCGGATAGTGCTCTATACCTGACTTTGTTCTTTTAGGGGTTCCCACTCAAATAACAAAGTTGTCTTTGGAACTGTTTTGGGAAGTAAAAGTAAGCGTGAGTGTAAAAATCACTCAATATGGTCTCTATAGGTATTTGAACCATGGGGTTTCCCTTTTTTTGCCAACCCCCACAGATGGGTATGCTATGTTGGAGTGAAGTAGCGGATGACCTGATCCGTCTTTCATACCCACCTATAAGTCCTTTCTGAAGCTATTCCACGGGAGACGGGCAATAGGAACGGTTCTGTGTAATCGATCCGCCGCACGCGGCTGTCACGGACCATTTGCCTCGTTATTACAGTTCCAGCGTTCTCCATAGAGCATAGTCGCTGTGCGATTATTACCTTTGGCATGATTCTACCATTCTTTTGTTCCTGTATTTCTTACTTGCTGCTGCATTCCGCTACATTTCTTCGCGCGCGGCGTCCCTCACGCAGAAACGCGACAATTTCGTTCCTACCGCGCCACACCCCTATTCCACTACTAGCAGCAACTTCCAATGTCAATTTAAGAATCATGATTTGATCTCTATATATGAGAAGTTAGAAGAATAAAAGGAAGTTTTCTTGATTTTTTTTTTCAGCCGCTTCAAAAATTCATCTCATTGAATGGACCCTCTCGCAGAGTTATATCACACTTCTGCACTTAATGGCCCAAACAAAGTTGTCTCAAAACATACTATGACATTCTGTCCCAGACATTTTTCTTCTATTTTCGAGGGATCCACTAATGTTTTGTACCACCCTTGACATTTTATTTTTCTATTTCTTAAGACCGAACAAAATTTTCGCTGCAGTTTTTAGTCGAGTTATTTACAGGCTCATTAGCGAAAAGGTGAATAGATCAAAAATGATATCAAACTTATTTTAAAACTCACTATAAGAGCTCGTCCATTGGCCCCCCACCCCTTTGACCCTAAAGTCTAAGTTCCCGTAAAAATTACGTACAAATGTTCAAATCTTTTTCGAAATGCATGACATGCAATGTGGCGTGATGTATTTGCTTTTTTTAGGAGGTGAGCGAATTGACTAGAAAACCTGAGGAGTACTTATTGAGTTTGAGCTCATTGAATTGCTCGCAGCATCCCATGGAGCGGACATCACAGTCAAAAAAAACTAGTATTACTAGCCGAAAAGAAAAAACTCGAAGATTCACTCTGTCAATGAAACCTCTGAACTCAGTCGATAGTAACGCCACACCACTGTAAAGTCGCGTGGGCTGTACTTTTTCAGTACTTCATATTGAACCACGTTCAGAGTATGTTCGTGATCGACGAAACTAGTAGGTTCCGTATACAGGTCACGAACATAGCTCTGTAGATCAAATTTTTAAATCTAAATTTTTTTGGTAAAAGAATTAGGTGATGGAAAACTAAGTCCTGAAAGAGAAATGGAGAACATTTGTATAGCTCTGATTCCTCGCAATAGTGTCAGAAATCCTGACAGCAAATAAGAACAGGGCGCATCATAAAATAAGATGCCACTCTTTCAAGTTCATGGTACCTTAATTCAAACCCTTACCTAAATACGAGTTGATGATATTTTTCGGATTTTTTTTTCTGAATATTACGTCAAAATCATAATCTTACGAGATTCTCGGAGCGAAAGTAGTACTTGCTTTGAATAATTCATCTTTAAAAAATTGTTCGAAGCCGGTAAGACTAGAAAGAACGGTGACGCTTGAGAAAAGAATTTTTCGAAGTGATGTCCAAAGTAAAAAAAAAATTACTAAACAGTTACTTGGATTCTACCAGCAACTATCAAACTTCAACTATGATTCGCTCCGAACTCAATTCAGGGACAATTACTCCCGATTATTTATCTTGTAGGATCTATCTTCATCGAATTTGATTTACTTTTGACACGACTTTTTTCGTTCTTTTTTTAAACAGCGACTACAAATAATTAAAAAATAAGTAAACACTCCCGTAGATGTGAGCGAAAGATTGGATGAAATAGACTTCCGCAAAAGTGATAACTTGAATACAACAAAACGGACATAAAGGACTACCTCTATTTTGGGATGAAGNATCAAAAAGCTAATGAACAAGTATCTCTAGCTCTAAAGAAAAAACTCCAAATTACCTGGACGTGCAGCCCTCATTTTATGGAGTTTGTAAAGCAGATAGCACTTAGAAAATGTCCTCGATCAGTGTTGTGTGTGGACGATATCAAAGTGATTGTTAGAACTACAGAGCAGGCATTCAAAAGGATGGGACGAATCTGACAAACACAGATGACTCAAAACGGACAATTCATGTCCTCAGATGGGCAAGCTGTACGGATCCAGCAGTGCTTGGTTGGTTAACACACACAGGGGAAAGGAACTGAGAATTTCCAGTGCGTGGTTTCCTCGATGATGAACTTGTCTCGTAGGTAACGGGGCGTAGGCTTACCTTACAGGTGGTAGAAGAAATCGATCAATCGGGCCCATCGACCACTCCCAATCGGCCAAACCTGTCTCCCACTCCCTCTCCTCATGATAACGCATTCCCTATGATCAAGGACAACGGCGGCTAGCTTGGCTGGCCATCAGTCATTAGCAAGTGAATCTGGTTGTGACGTTTCAATTGAGATATGAAATTTTATGAGATGAAGGAACTGAGTTATTACAAGGCAAGGAGAAATGTATAGAAAAAAAGGAGAACTGGCTAGATAACTAGTAGTCACTCGTCGATTTTTGAAAGTTAAAACCCACTTCTGTTTAGAGGGTTTCAATGGGGACTTCAGGGTAGGGTATAGTGACAGTTACTTCAATTCCAGTCAATTTTGGAGGGGAAGTTATCAACAGCAAGTCTCGCAGGTTATGATTCACCAGGATTACAACCCACAGTTAGTCAACAGCGATTCCTAAGCGGATTTTTGAAATCATTTGTAACATCCTGTACAACATCTTTTTTAACCAAAAAAGGAAACAATCTATTGAATGACCTAATTTAACCGTGAACTTTACCTTCGGAATTGGTCAAAATTGAACTAGCTCCAGCTTGAACCTGCCCTTCGAAATGATCTGAGCACTGGTCAATTCAACTAGGACCTTATCTCCAAATCCAGAGTAAGGACAAGGGAACCATACATAGGAGATTTTCTGAGAAAACTTTTCGACTAATAATTTATCAAGAAGGTATCTGCGGAAAATGTTAGCATGGTTTTATTGATTACGAAGTGCTTACTGTCCGTCAGTAACTAGTTTGCTGTTGTTGTTGTTGTTTTGGTTGTTGCTAATGAATCGCATAGGCGTGGTCTTCTGCTGATTTGTATTTTTACACAAATGATCGCCCCATTTAGCACAATCAGGGTGTAATCATACAACTCCACTCATTGAAAACTTTATTACTAATTTTGGTAAGTGAAACGTACAGCAATAGATCAAGTAACAGAGGTTTATAGCAGAAAAAGGAAAAAAGCAAAATCATGTTGCGAAAGAGTTTAATAGAAACTGTTTAATGCGCCATCAACGCCGACATGCATTTCTTTGAGTATTCTCTGGAAAGAAAGTCGTACGGTAGTCGTAGGTACCTATAGAGCTGGCAATCCAGACCTCCTGGCCAACCACTACATTCTCTAAGGGTGCTTTCATAGTGCGCCGGCCGGCCGGCCAGCGGACAATGAAAGCAGTAAGAGTGTGCTGGCTGTAATGGAACTTCTCCATGCTAGTGGAGTCTTTTAAAGGCTCAATTTAGTGGAAGGAGATCGGCTGCAGATCAATGAGCATTGTGGCTGAAGCTCGAGAAGCTCCCGGTACGGATCATCCAACAGGAGCTTGGAGCACATGTGTGGACTGATCTTATCTCCGACCTAATAAACATTAGGTGATACTAGAGCTCTATTGACAGCTTCACAGCGTGTCAAGCAAGTGCAAGGGCCAAATCGGAAAATGGAATTCCTATCCTACCGGTTGCAGAGAAAAAGCGAACATCTTCCACATTGCGAGACGGTTCCCTCAGGGATAAGACCTATTTCTCTACCTGTTACTGTTTGCCTGAAACCAGTTATACCCAATTCGTTAGGTCCGAACTGGGCTAGGCCGAACCGATGCTTTTGTTTCCTCAGACGAGCCGTAGGCAAGAAAGCTCTGTCGAACTGGACGAAGTAAAATCCCAGTTTCTTGCCCATACCGTGCATGCGGTACTGGGGCCACCTTGCCCTACCTCGGCCTGGATCGTAGCTGATCCCCCTCTTGTCTCGAAGGCTCGAATCGCTTCTGGAACGATCCAACTGAACTTTATCGACATCTGTTTGCCAGGTGTTTATTCACATGCTCAACGATCTCTCAACTTCTTCATCATGAAGGGCTTTACATTTTGATCTGTAGCACTTGATTACAACGTGTGTATGTACATCCCACAACTTTTTTGAAAGGCCAAATCACAGCTGGCTATGACAAAACGCGATCGCAAGTGAATGAAAAAGAGCATATTCATGAAAATAATCGCTTAT